AAACATGGGGAGGCTGCTTTTCAGATTCATGCTGCTAAAATCTGGAACAATCTTCCTGAAGATGTAAGACAGGCCTCCTCTCTGACAATGTTTAAAACCAGGTAAAAAAAATGGTTCTGTTTAGTTGTGCATACAACTGAGGGATTTTATATTTTTATCTTTCTTTTTAATTCACTGTGATTATTTATGATTTTAATGCTTTCTTGTTTTGTTCAGCACTTTGAGTTGCCTTGTGTATGAATTGTGCTATACAAATAAACTTGCCTTGCCATTCCTTTTGTTCTGTGACATGTGATGCAACACTGAAATTTTCCCAATGTAGGACAAATAAAGAATCTCTGAAGGTTTGTATGAATTATAACTGTTTCTATTTCTATTTGTAGTTTATTTAAATGTTATATGTTTATGAAATTACCTCAATCCTGGACTGGTCATTTTTTCTAAGATAATACCTATTATTTATTTATTTTTATTATGGGCCTTTACCAAATGGGTGAGATGCAGTTAGATTGTGCCTAAGTGAAATGAGGTATATTAGCGTAGTAGTAGAATAGTGAGTCAAAGGGTGATCTACCAAATGGTTGAGGAAGCCATCAAAGGGTTGAAAATGAAAAAAAAACCCCACAAATTAATTAGTTAAATGTAATGCAAGTAATAGTAGTTTTTAGTTTTATTTTTCCAATCAGAATTCCATTGATTTTAAAGGAAATTTAAATATGGGAGAAACCACTGATCACCTCACCCCCCCTCCCCCTCTCTCGCTCTCTCTCGATGTCCGGGCCCCATTTCCACCACAGACAGACACACTTCAGTGATTTGTGCCTCAAACAGACGCCTCACCAAATGCATTCACCGCAGGGCTCGGAGGAGGACAGAGCAGATCCATCATCGTCTGTCCACAGAAGCTAATCAACAACAACATGCTAACTAAAGACTCTCCGGTTAGAGTCAACACGGCCGTAAACCAACAGCAGTAAAGCACAACGGTATAAAAGGGTTCACACTTGATTAGTTTAATATCCTAAGGGCCTTTATCGGGCAGATAAATAGCCACGACATGCACAAGTCTCATCTAAAGAGGGGATTTTTAAACTATATCTGTGTTTGATATTTGATGTGAACAATTAATGTACTTCTTTCCCACTCCGTTTCAAGCTGACAAACAATAAAAATAAATATATGGTCGCTGGTCACTTCGGGGTTTTTCACAAAGAAGGAAACAAATTTGACTGAACCTGTTAGTATAAATTGATAATAATCATAAAATCTTCTTGATGAGATGGATAATAATGATAATATACAAAATAATGTATATTTGTTGTAGTTGTTGGCTGGGAGTTTCTGTCTTACTTCTTCCCACTTCATTGCAGGTCTCTATGGGAAGAGGAAAATATATATCTATGTATATATGTATGTTCAAGGTCTGTATTTAATAAGTCAAACAACTGAATCCTGTATGAACCTGAACTAAATAAATAAATGAAATGAAGTGAATATATTGAACTTGAAGATAGACAAACACATGGTGAAACTATGGTAAATACTGTTGCTTGGTTGTATATACTGTACTACTATGTATATACTATGTATATATATTTGCATGTGTATCTATATACTGTAAGTCAGTGGATAATAAAGTAGAACCTTGAACTTTGTAGGCAACAAAAAAAAGTTCTCCATAAACTGCGGAATGTAATTAATGCACTGCAAAAAAAAAAAAAGATCAAATATGAGGTGATAATTTGTTGAATCAAGTGTTTTTTATCTTAATTTAAGTATATTCTGACAAATGTAAAACATTTTTTTCCAATGGGACAAAGCCATGTAGTCTTATTTTAAGAACTGTTCCTGTATAGACCTATCCTAGACCTAGATACAAATGTGCGCTATTGTTAGTAAGTTAGAATTGTTTATAACTGATGTACTTACTGTATGCGTTTATATTAGTGCTGTCCAAAATATCGCGTTATTAACGCGTTAACGCAAATCAATATTAACGGCGTCATTTTTTTTATCGCCATTAATTTTTTTTATAATTATTAAAAAAAAAAAATTTTTTTTTTTTTTTTACTTTTTATTGCAGACAAACACATATACAGAAAAAAATAGACACAAAGAAAAGGACTAGTTAAGATACATTGTAGACAGAGATTACAAACAATATGTAGTTGGAGATACAGGGGGCCAAAGAAGAAACCCAGAAGGGCACATAGGAGGGGGGGGACATGAAGTGGGAGATGGGGGGGAGGGGTTAATAAAAAAGGCAATACAAGCAAACAGTATACAGTCATAGATATACCGAAAGTAAACAGAGAAACAGCATAGAGTATTTACATGAACAAATTTACAAAAAAATTGTTTATCATCATCATAATGACACCATGATGTTTCTATACAGTCTATGGTCTATACCCACACATACACACACACACCCACACCCATAAACACACACACTCCACACACACATTGAAGGGGCTTTTTGTTACCAATTATTTATTTTGTCATCCATTTATTGATGATTTTGCATCAAATGTTAGTGTGTAATATAACACTACACATTGTTTTCAATAAAAAAAGCAATTGCACACAGCACGCAAATGGGTGACTAATTTGCGATTAATCGCGAGTTAACTATGAAATTCATGCGATTAATCGCGATTAAATATTTTAATCGTTGGACAGCACTAGTTTATATGGATGTGTTTCTGAGGCTGGACACCTGAATTTATCCTACGGGGATCAATAAAGTATCTATCTACCTTTTTTTTCTCATTCCAACTGAGACATTTCTTCTATCTTTTGAAAACAAGATCCTTTTGGTTGTTTTTAGGCAGGCAGACATCCATCGTCTTCCCCTTAACTCATTTCTGGGTCGGGGAGGGGGGTGGCAGTCAGAGCTGCCCCCAGTACGCATACCACCAGCCCCTCACTGATCCTCCTGCAGGTGGTGAGTCCACAGGAGCTGAGATCTTTCAGTGGGGGCTTCAGGCAAAGTGGGGTTAAGTGTCTTGCCCAAGGACACAACGACAGCAGTCATCAGTGGGAGTCGTGAAGTAGGTCTATCAGAGGGCTCGAACCCACGACCTTCAGGCCCAAAGGCCAATGCTCTACCAACTGAGCCACTGTCGCCCCTTAAGCCAGACATCATGTGCTCAAATCAAGATACATTTTGCCAAATTTCAGCAATTTTTGACTTATTTTCCATCATTTTTTGCAGTAGGTAATTACTTGTGAACGTATCATTAATGCTTGAATGAATAAAACCAATCAATCAATGTCAAAATAAATAATTACATGTTTGTGTGAAGCCCGATCGCTGTATAGAAAGTGCCCTGTCTCTTTCTGCTACTACACCAAACAGAGATTATATGTGAGGAATATGAAGAGGAATTTCATCATTATAACTCAATCGTCTTATTAATAAAATGTTCTTTGCTTTTAATCAGTCTAATTTCCTCGGTGTGAAATTGTCCGTTTTGACTCCTGCTTAGCCTCACAGATTATCCTTTCTTTCTTCTCTCCCCGATTTAAACTCTTTCCAAAGACACGACGATGATCCACGAGCCATAACAAGCGAATTTAACGTAACTTCATGCTGTAATAATAAGTTTTCATTTATCTGCGTATTTAGCGTTCCGACTGTGAAATAAGTGGCTAACTGGCTTAAACAGAGAGGTTTTGGTTTTTCACAGACAGAATCCGCTTTTCTGTTATAAATGTGGAAGAAAGAAACGACTTGATTAAACTAAACTAATTGGTTCGACCGAGGAGTTATCCAGGTTTTATTTCTCTTTGAGAGCATTATACAAACGGCTGTCTTTAAAGCTGGGGTACCAAACTTTTAGGTATAAATAATCATTTTGGTTTTTGCTGTCAAAGAATCTTATAAAAGTAAATACAAATCAGAAAACGTTTTATCTTTGCATACCATGTGAGTCGCTATTTGACGCTTTGGGTTGCGAGTGGATCGGTCGAGTGAGGGTGGTCCTCTCTTTTTCCCATTTCTGTCAAAAACAAAACAAAAAAACGTCTGCGTCTTTGCAGATCTAACATTTTCAAATACGGATGCAATTCCTTTATTAAAGAAATTGCCAGATACTTGCATGAATGATTTTGTTTTTTATTTTGTCACACATTAATACTGTTATTCTACAAACATTACACTACGTACATTATGTACTATGGTAATGGAATGTAAGTACAGGACCTCTGCCTAGAAAAATACATTGAACTGAAATTAAAGCAAGGCAGGCAAAACATTTATTGAACCTACTCCGAACTGAAAGTCACAGTTTAGACCCGAAGTGAGTAATGAGATGGTTCATTTATTCATGTATGGAAAGGTGGACCTGTTTTAAAATCCATGTGACTGCTGTTCTTTGCTATAGAAAAGAAAAACAGAAGAGATATTTGAATGTCAATATTAGTTTTACAACCCCTAAATCTTGTTATTGTTTTAATTTGGATGTCCTGCCTTCCACCGTTTTAACAATCAGAAAGTTTGTGATCCGGGTTGCCAGAACTCACTGCGTCAATCTAATCTCACTCGTAAAGTCACATGTGGCAGAACTAAAAAGGTCTCGTTGTTATTCTCAAATCATTAATAACAAAACAAGGAATAAAACCAGGATTTCTATCTTTGTGAAAAAGGTGTTGGTTAAAGATTTGCTGTTGACAAAACTCTTTATTCAGATATTAAGGTCCCAGCTGAATTTCTGCATATCTGGCAACCTGAATCAGGGAGAGTGGGAGAGGTTGCAGAACCACTTTAGGCCAGATTTGTACATACTGCTCCTTTAAAACCTGTGCCTGTTGTTTGGAGCTCTCGTATCTGAAAGTCTGGCTGACAGCTCGTCACTACATGCTCGGCCTTCTCCCGGCTCTGTGTAAATGAAATTAACTTCACGTGTATTTTAAAGATGGATTTTTCGGATCACGGTGTCACGTCGAGTGTCTGACTTTATTAAAGATGCAAAGTGTGTGTCGGCCTCCTGCTTCCAATGCTTTTAATGACGGAGCGGCTGAATCAGCAGAAGAGCAGGAGAGGCGAGAGTGATGGCTGCGAGAGACAAGGACACGGAATTATGAGTCCAGAAATTAGAGCAAAAAGGGATTCTGTCACGATGTGTTGGATTCGGTGAAGAGTTTTGACCAAAAAAAATGCAGAAAATGAACAAATTGCAAGTTTGAAGAGACACTAAGTCAAGTCTGCGGGTTTCACTAATCACTCAAAGCTGGGGGACCTTACTTTTAAAACTGCAAAAATGAGTTATTTGCATTGTAATTTGACAGTTTGGCTCTGTCACTGGTATGCACGTGCATGTATATTGGTTTCCTTACGGCCCCTTAAACAGTCACTTTACTGCTTGTCACCTTACTGCACTGCCTACTGCACATTGTACATAGTAATTATAATTGTTTACTTATTTTCTTAGAAGTGTATGCTGATTTTTATGATGCTTATTCTCTATTCTTTACCGCTCTCTTCTGACTGTTGCACCGAGCCAAATCAATTTCCAAGTCTGTGACTTCCTGTTACTTACGTGGCAATAAAAATGATTCTGATTCCGTCTTTAGATCAGCTTTTTCGGATATAAAAGTGAAAAAGAGAGGACTGCTCTCACTCAGCCAATCATGTCTTAGGCCAAAGAGTCAAAGAGTGACTCTCAAGGCTCTTACTTATAAATATGCAAAATATAACAAAATATGAAGACAGCATGTCATGGCCAAAGATTGAGTTTCATTACAAACCTGTGTGCCTGTGTATTTAATAATACACACTGCAAAAAACAATTGCTCTTATGTTTCTTAATTGGAGCACATTTGGATCGCCCTAAATAAAACAAGGTTTGCCAATGGGACAAACCTTTTATTTTATTTATATACATATATATATATATATATATATATACATACAAGAAAGGTCTCACTTGGAGTGAGAAAATAAAGCAATAGTCCTTGAAATAAGATTGGCATGTCTGGTTTTAAGACGTCAAACTGAAAAAACAACAACAAAAAAACACTTTATTCAAGCCATTTTTACCACATAATTGATCCTTTTGGCAGTGCATGTAGTTTGAGGTGAGTCTGTTGGATGTGGGATTGTTTTTAACCAAAATGTAAAGCACTTTATTGCATTTTTTTTTAACAAATAGCACTTTATAAATAAAATTGAATAGAATAGATTTATTAATGGATTGAATTCGTTTTAGACCTTCAAGTTAAATGTATGTACAAATGATTTCACTTAGACTTCTAGGATGTGCAGCATACAACAGTTAATCTGCAATCTTTTCTATATATATTAAAAATGTTTTAAATGAAAAAATCTTTGCCGTCTGGGTGAGTGATGGCGAGGCAAAGCTCTCCAAAAATGAACCAACATTATCTCCTGAGAGCTTAGTTAAAATCTCCACTATTCTGCTACTTCATTTTTTCATAGTCAATTAACCGAGCATGTTTAATTCCAAGGTGTCTCCAGCCCCTCTCCTGCAGTGGCGTGTGTGTGTGTGTGTGTGTGTGTGTGTGTGTGTGTGTGTGTGTGTGTGTGTGTGTGTGTGTGTGTGTGTGTGTGTGTGTGTGTGTGTGTGTGTGTGTGTGTGTGTGTGTGTGTGTGTGTGTGTGTGTGTGTGTGTGTGTGTGTGTGTGTGTGTGTGTGTGTGTGTGTGTGTGTGTGTGTGTGTGTGTGTGTGTGTTGTGCGTAAACAATAGAGTAGATTGTGCGTCGCGTGTCTCTGACAGCTCCAGCCCCGTGATTAATGACGCTCTGTTTAAAGTGATTAGTGCATTAATGCGCTCTGTGATGGCTGCGCGGAGCTAACGGGCTAACGCTAGGGAAAGGTCAGGCCCACGTGCGCGTCCCTGGACTCACGTGCACACTGGTGGACTGATTATTATGAAGGTTAAAGGGAATGTAGCATTCGTCAACTTTTGTGCAGCTTTGGACCATGAGTGTGTTTGCAAAAGCACCGGTGAAAACCAGAGAACTCGCCTGGTCCAATTTCATTAGATTTAGCAAAAATAATGTACAAGCCGTGCGCCAATTGAGGTGTGAAAAACCAGTCTGTTTGGCACAAATCAGTGATTCTGAATTATTTTCTGCCCATAGGAAGAAGAAAACTTTACCACCCAAAAAGTAAAACAGTGACTCACAGGGCTCTGTCCTAAAAGTATTAAGCCTGTCGATTTGTTCACAATATTTTTACTTTACTAATTATCAATCAAATTTTATTCATAAAGAACTTTTCATACAAAAAAAAATGCCCTTTGCTGTTCAGAATATTTGTCAAAAAGGAGCACAGGTGAAATAATACCTTTGCACGTCATTGACATTTATAAATCGAACTGTAGATTCCCCACTGTGGGACTGAAACAAGCCATTCTTTCAATATTAAGTGAGTTGTCGCTGAGCTTCAGGAGGAGACACGGAGGAAGACACGGAAACTTCCAGAAGCATCCATAATCCATAGTCTTTTTCTTGTAGTATATTTGTTGTGTGTACAAGTCAAAGACGCGCACTTGGAGCTATCTGTAAATGTCACGTGGCTAAACAAAATAAACCCATAACGATATAGAACTGCAAAAATGAAGGATTTAATAAAATGTAATGCAAAACAAAATGAGAGAAAATGACAGCAAAGTCACAAAACAGGACCCGAGGACAAGAACTAAAACTGACAATGACTGCACAGGGTTTAAACACACTAACGACTAACGAGACACAGGTGAGACACATGTGGGCGGGGCTGGGAATCAGGAAACAGGAAGTAACACCGAAGACATAATAATACAGGAGATGAATCTTAAACCTTGACAATAAAAGAGCCATGGGTTCCACAGATCAGTGTTCCCCAACCTTTTTGAGCCGTGACAGACATTTTTCATTGAAACAAATCCTGTAGCGTAGTGATGTGCTGAGCGGACCGAGTCTTCGAAGCGTGGACCGAGTAATCTGGGGGCGTTTCTTGTGAAGTGTGGGTCGAGGCGTGTATTGGTCACGTGTGTGGTGACGTTCGAAGCCTCGCGTAGCGGCCGCACCACGTGACGGTTCATATAGTGCTTCATATAGTTCGGAGAGTGCATTGCTTTGACAGGTGCTTTGTGATCCGCGGCTGTACCATAGACTGTATGGCTGTCCCCGTCTGCCTCTGTGTGCGTACGTGTGTGTGCGTACGTACGTGTGTGTGCGTGATGTGGAGCAGTCCTGTACTAAGTATAGAGAAACTACTTCATATGAAATACAATTAAAAACGTTTCACTTTAGTAAAACCTCATATATCAAGGCTTCAAGTTATTAGTAATAATACGCTGGATGATACATTTCACAACAGCTGTGTGGCACAGTCGGTATATGACGGACTCCGAAGCAGAAGATATAGCGTTCGAATCCCGGTCTACCCATAATAAATTTTGTGTTGCAAAGTAAATGTATTTATTTATTGGGAATAAATGGTTTGTTGTGTTTAATTAATCCACCTCTTGGTAGTTTTTCCTCCATTAATCACTTTCTGTAGAACTGTATTACTTTGGATGTGTTTGTTGTATCAACACAATTGACTGAAAGACTCAAATAGTTCATAGTTCATGAAGCATCATTTCAAACACAACACGTTAGACCATAGATTGTAAATATACATTTTAACATTAGATCTCACCATTCATTGTAAGCACTTAAGAGTGTTATGTATTTCTTTGTCCACATGATGGCGTAGTGGAGCATGATTCACCTTGAGCCTTCGACTCATGGGCCGAGTAATAGGCTGCTATCCCTCAAGGCTTCATGGGGCTTCATATTGCCATCACTACTGTAGCGCACAATCACCTGAAAATGTCTGTTCCCTATTGTGGGGATCACTTTAGTTTCTCCCGTGGTGTCTCCGTGTGTTTGTGTTTCCTCCCTTTACAGAAGACCATGCTCGTGAGTCCTGGGCTCCTATTGGCCAGTCGTTCCCCACCTGGAGCTCATTGACTGCGATGCCTGGGTGCTGATTGGGCATTAGCTGAGGTAGTCCTCCAATCAGCATGCGCTCACCTGGAGGACCCGCCCTTATAAACTGCCAATCTTCTGCGGCTCAGGGCAGCTGGAGTCAGTGGACTCTGGTTCGCCAGTTAGTTTGTCTGTGTGCTGTCACTTATGCCGGTACTTTAGTTAAGGGACTTCAGTTAGTGATGGCAATATGAAGCCCCATGAAGCCTTGAGGGATAGCAGCCTATTACTCGGCCCATGAGTCGAAGGCTCGAGGTGAATCATGCTCCACTACGCCATCATGTGGACAAAGAAATACATAACACTCAAGTGCTTACAATGAATGGTGAGATCTAATGTTAAAATGTATATTTACAATCTATGGTCTAACGTGTTGTGTTTGAAATGATGCTTCATGAACTATGAACTATTTGAGTCTTTCAGTCAATTGTGTTGATACAACAAACACATCCAAAGTAATACAGTTCTACAGAAAGTGATGAAGAGGAAAAACTACCAAGTGGTGGATTAATTAAACACAAACTATTTATTCCCAATAAATAAATAAATTTACTTTGCAACACAAAATTTATTATGGGTAGACCGGGATTCGAACGCTGTATCTTCTGCTTCGGAGTCTGTCATAGACCGACTGCGCCACACAGCTGTTCAGAAATATATTGTCCAGCGTATTATTACTAATAACTTGAAGCCTTGATATATGAGGTTTTACTAAAGTGAAACGTTTTTAATTGTATTTCATATGAAGTAGTTTCTTAGTACAGGACTGCTCCACATCACGCACACACACGTACGCACACACACGTACGCACACAGAGGCAGATGGGGACAGCCAATACAGTCTATGGTACAGCCGCGGATCACAAAGCACCTGTCAAAGCAATGCACTCTCCGAACTATATGAAGCACTATATGAACCGTCACGTGGTGCGGGCGCTACGCGAGGCTTCGAACGTCACCACATACGTGACCAACACACGCCTCGAATCACGCTTCAAAAAATACGCCCCTTTTTTACTCGGTACACGCTTCGAAGACCCGGCACGCTCAGCACATCACTAACTTCAGTAGTTTAGATTTTTGTCAATTGATTAATAGGTTATTTATTTACTCTGTCTGTTATGTAGATATTTAATCCTAGTTTGATACCAGTTTTACCCATTTTGTCATTGTCATAGATTATGATTTTAGTTACCATTCTACCATCTTGGTTATTCTGTTACAATTTTAGTTTCGGGAAATGGAGTAAGTATATTTTTTCGATAGTGGTTTTCTCCATCCAAAAAAAATGAAACTTCACAACCTTAATGAACAATACAGTCATAATCATCAGAGTGTTTTGAATAACCAAACATGCACAGAGAATTTAAAAAATATCGCTTCCAACGTTTTTATTTTAATTTTTTATATTGGATAATTTCTAAAGGCACACTAACTGGCCATGGCACACTGGTTGGAAAAGTCATAGATCATTATGCAGCAGTTTTTTTGGGATTTTTTTCAAGCATATAATTGTTTATTAAAACCGTTTGTAAACAAACCAGTGTGGAGTGGTGAGTTGTTTGACTTAACCTGACTTAATCTGACTTGCTTCATTTTAGGTTCAATTTAATGTATGTCTTATAACTTATATCTGCCCAAAACATTCGATTGATATGATTCCATAGAGACTGGTCTTTGGGTTTTGATGTTCAAATTTGGTCTTTTGGCACTTTTTTTTGTTTTGCACTCCCACCTTGTTTGGTTTACATTCCAAATATTAAGTTTCATTAACAACCTGTGAGATTAAAAAAAAACAGCTTTAATTTGCTATTCTTTATGATGCTAAAGTCAGGAGTTTTTGTCCTTAAGTCTTGCCTCTTCATCATGCTAGGGTTGGTGATTTTAGACTTCATTACTATGCTAAAGGTAGATGCAACACTGAAATTCCCCCACTGTGGGACGAATAAAGGATCTATTAATCTTTTAATACTTTTTTAAGCTAGTTGTGGATCAGTAAAGTTTGTCTAAGTCTAGTCCACACAAGTTGTATCTTTATGTATGGTAAATTAAAAAGCTAATGCAATCATATTTTCTACCGTCAGAGTTTCTCAGACGATAGCATCTCTGCTCTGTTTCCCACATCACAATCAGACCAACATTTCCATTTCCCCATTTACAACTTTATTACATCACCACCTGAACGACCAAATAAGGACAACAAGTGATTACGCGCTAACGTTCTTGATGTTTAAATCATTGATAAGGGAAAACTTTTCAGCCAACTTCCCATGAGAAATAAGAAAGCGTATGAAAGAGCTTTGAACAAAACAGATGTGGAGAAAGAGAAAAAAACATTTGGGTTTTGACCACAGATTTTCAAACTAAAGTGAATGTCAACTTTCTTCGTCAACATACTTTTCAAACTCAGAAAGAGAAGTTTTTGATGTCAAGCCCTGGATAGACCCATGCTAACTCCTGCAGCCTCCTGATTGGTCGAAATGAAATGAAATCTTCCTGGTGGTAGTTATGCCGTTTGAAATATGATTGTTAAAAAATACTTACAATCTATAATAATACAGTATCCCTTTGCCAGAAATATACTTTCTTTTTTTTAAATGAATTACAGTTTACATTGCTGACATCACCTTTAATCTAGTCTGTGCTAAAGTTGCCCTGTGTATGAACTGTGCAACACAAATAAACTTGCCTTGCCTTTCACTGTCACTGCACATGTTTTTTGCCGTCTCCTTGTGCCCGATTTTGACACGCTTTTCAACAGCTGTACGTTTCTTAAAGCTGAGGTACCTAACTTATTTCTTTTAATAAATGGTGTTGTAAAGGAAACAGCTTTTTTCTGTTTAAAAAAGCTTAATCAGGTGTATAGATATTTATAAACATTTCTGGATGTTGCTCTTGCTGCCGTCTATGGACCAATGGCTCCTCCTCACAGTGTTTGTTATTACTGTTTGATTCTCTGATCTGTTGTTGCGGTATCGTCAACTTTGCAGAGTCCACGGAGACGACTGCTGCTGTGATTTAGGGCTGGTAAAATTTTTGATTGAATTGTTCTCAAAATGTATGAATTTTTGAATGCTGGGAACTTAGATTGCATAGGTGTCTTTGGTGTGGTTATAAAGTTAGGTACCCCAGCTTTGAACAAGAAGAACTAAAACCTGTGTATGTTTTTTTTTCTTGTGATATTTAGTTGATAATCTATGTATTTGAAGGTAATGTCATGTCTAAAGTGTCCCATATGAGTGGACCGTCTGTCCCCCGTCCCTCTCCCCCTGAGGCCCTGTGTTCTCTGAAGTCTCTGATTGATCGACTGTGATTTCATTACTTGGATATTCATAAGTGTTTTGTGTTTCTCTAAATTGACTCTACTTTGTTTTCATCTGGATCATTTCAACGCACTGACTGCTCCGCTGCTCCGTAACGACACTCTTGGCTTCATCAGGAGTTAGATGAGGAGTAAACTAGGAGAAAATAGGAAAGAACAAATGCTAAAAGAAAAAGGAGACACATTGAGCTTTTGCCCGTTGTAGACATTTGCATTATGTTTTTTTTAGATGTATCTCATTACAAAAATAAGTAGTTCAAGTATAGTAATTTATGTTTGTTTTATATATTTTAAAGCTTAGATAGCCAACTTTCAAAACACAAAAAATACAACTGTAAAATGTTAAGTTCCTTGCTCTCAAAACAATTTGCTTCTATCTCTAGTTTTCAACTTCCTGCATTTTTTTTAATGAAATCAGCCCGAGAAGTCAAAAAGTGACACTTTGTCTCCCAGAGCAGTCTAGTTTTAGTTTTGGAAGTGTTATTACTCAGCTCATAAACATTTTTGGTCTTCATAACTTCATAGCTTTATGACTTTTTCTTTATTTATTTCTGTAATTATTTTTTATGAAATTATCTTTAAATTTAGAAGTAGAGAGGAGAAAACCCTGTAACCATAGCAACATACTGTTTACTTGCCACTGGTTTGCATTAGCCCTTCAAATAAATTATAATTCTTCTGTATTATGAGTTTTATTCACCGGTTTTAGCACTTATTAAAAGCGAGTAAAGGTACATTTCAATGAAAGTGATGGTGAACTCACTAACTTCCATTGATTGGAATGGGAGCAGTCAAAATGACGGTCAAAAGGAGGAGAGAGAAGGAGATGAGAAGAGAGAAGGGAAGAAAGAGTAGGTTGTGGTGATTCATTCTCTTTGGGAAACTGCATTTAATTCATTCAAAATAAATTAAAGTTAGGTGCCTCAGCTTTAAGGTGTATTATGGTTTCCGCTCAGATGACTGTGGATGTAAGCTGTTTGGACGTGTGTTTGCAGAGCAGTCACCTGGACTGCCTCATGTGGAACTCAGCTCTGCAGCAGGAGCATCAGGAGCATCAGGGGAGAGGGATAATGAAGCAGGTAAACCAACACTGATCACAGGAGATGACAACCAGGACGGAGGAGAGAGGGAGGACAGAGGAGAGAAGGAGGAGAGAGGACAGAGGGAGGACAGGAGAGAAGGAGGAGAGAGGACAGAGGGAGGACAGGAGAGAAGGAGGAGAGAGGACAGAGGGAGGACAGGAGAGAAGGAGGAGAGAGGACAGAGGAAAGGTAGGACAGAGGAGAGAAGGAGGCAAGAGGAGAGAGGGAGGACAGAGGAAAGATGGAGAGGAGGAGAGATGACAGAGGAGGAGGAGATAAGGAGGAGTGATGACAGGAGAGGAGGAAAGAGGACAGAGGAGAGAGGAGAGAAGGAGAGAGGAGGGGAGGAAAGAGGACTAGGAGATAGGGAGGAGAGAAGAGAGAGGAGAGAAGGAGGAGAGAGGACAGAGGAGAGAATTAAGACAAGAGGAGAGGAGGACAGAGGAGAGAAGGAGGAGAGAGGACAGAGGAGAGAATTAAGACAAGAGGAGAGGAGGACAGAGGAGAGAAGGAAGACAGAGGTGAGAAGGAGGCAAGAGGAAAGAAGGGGGCGAGAGAACAGAGGAGATAGCAAGAACGAGGAGATTAGATAAATGCTAAAATCATTCGCGTTTTTCCAAAAGTTAGCATTCCTCCAGTGGATTTTCACCTGATCTGCTTGGTTTGGACCATGAATCCTCTCTGCTCTGGTCTGGGCCAGTGAGAGAGAAGAAGGCTGGATGACAGAGGAGAGGAGGCTGGAAAGAAAGAAACAAGACAAAGTCAGAATGTACTCAAATTAGGATTAAAAAAACTTGATTTGTGCAGTTATTACCTCCTATTTTTATCATTTTTTTCAGTGTAACATTGACATTTCACCAACTGAGGGACAGATGGGGTCTCTTATTTTATCTTAAAACGCAACACAACAAATAAGTAGATTTGGAAAATGTCTCTTTAAGATTTTGCGTGTGTAAAGTCAGTTCTCGGGCCTACCAAGTTAGCTGAACCAAAAAATGAAGATTACGTAAAGGCCACATTAAAACTACAATATTTTTTTCCATTTAGACTTGACGACTGAATTCAGAGAAAGACAATATTCCACTTTTATTTAACAACATCCTATATCTTTCTCAGTTTTGCATTCCTTAACAACTGGGATATAACAAAATAACAACGTTGCGTTTTGCAGGCTGTGAGTCACGTATGTGTGAAAAGCGCATTTGCAGAGGTGAAGATGGTTCTGCTGCAGTGGAAATATGCAGAGAAAAAAATGTGCCCGAGTCCCAGGAGAAAGATCCAAGCAGAGACAACAGATGGTCCACTGTCAGGTCAAACAGGAGGGGAACAAAAAGGAGGAGATCAAAAACATCACATTCTTTGGATCTGTTTTCAGTTTTCAGAATTAATCCATATATCTAACCTCCTGAGCAAAAGCCAAAATTGTAAATATGTCATTTCACTTGAAATGTATTTGAATCGCTTTCTTTGGTAATTGACAAAGATCTGAAAGAAGCAGCTTGGATGGCCACGACCACAGACGATCTCTGGGCTGGTGTATAGCGCCATCTCGTGGGCTGAAGAAAGAAACGCAAGCCAAGGAGGGATGAAGGATGTACACAAGACATTGACCGGACTCCAACCCGGGTCGCCGGAACGTGAGTTTTGCAGCTTAACCACTAGGCCAATATTACACATAATAAACGATGCAGAGGAAAACGGACACAATCCACCAAGTTTTGCATCTGCAGCCAGACTCTTTTGGGGAAGTGAGAAGGACCAGGTGCACACACTGCAGACAGGAGACGCGTGAGTGAAAGTGGCTGATGCACGAAGCGTACTGACCCAGCAGATGGCGCTGTTGAGTCACATTGGCACCTGCACCATCAGCGACGGCAGGTGTAAACTTCAGGCTTGTGTATCATATTAACTGTAGGATAGATAACTCGGGGGTGGACTGTAAGGACTGTATAAAATGAGCTGGTTTGGTATTGAAGCAGTTACTGTCCTGAGTGTCGGCCAGAACACTACTTGAGCTAAAATGATATGCAGAGGGCAGACATTGACGAGACGGGTTAATACTTTGTCTTTGTATTGGACATTGAACATTGGGTCTGAGTACAGGTTTGGGTGTGTGCCTGTGTGTGTGGTATCTGCAAAATAAACAGAAATAAAGACTAAATTACAAAAGGCTCATCTCCATACAAACACAATATAATAGGGTTATAAAGGACATAAAGATACAAAAAATAATAGGCACTTTATCAACAGTGCCAACAGCCTGGCCCATAAACATTCCACATTGCACAGAACAGCTAGCTTAGCTCCCTGCGGCTACACAGGCCACGTGGCCATATATATATATATATATTTTAAAGGCTCTTGAATTAACTAAAACAATTAAGTTTCAGGTATACAACCATCGGGAGTCCTTAGGAACTTACTTTTGTCATGAACGCACACTTCGGACTACAACAACATCTGACACTAGATTTGCAGCAAGAAAAGGGTGTTTTCACTCTCGTCACAGTCTGTCTCAGGTAAGAGGTAGGGGCGCCCTCTAATGGACACTCACGGAACAACAGGTAAACAAACAGTAGTAATATACATACAATGAAACAGAGGGGCCTTTTGTTCATTAACTAAGATAAATTCATCTCTACAACAACCATTGACCAATGGCCTTCCTCATCACTTTTATGATCAATAATTGTTCCATTAAACCTGTTAAATAAAATCATCGCCTCTGCTGAATGAGAAGTACCATGTGAATAGAAAATATTATCTCCCCATTGTTGCTTCCAAAACTTTTCGTCATTCGGTTGAACGAGTCTCTTGCAAAAAAATAAGATTAGCTTTTGTCTCTTTACAAAATAAAAATAATGCCTTACGTTTAACAATATTTTGTAAACCTCTAACATTTAACATAACATGACATAAAAAAAAACAAAGTTCTTATCCGCTTTTGAACTAGGCTAGATAAGAATAAAGTGATAAGCAGGAATGAGCAAATTGTCCAATAACATTTATATGATCCTCACTACAGAACCCATATATATGTATATTTTTGTTGATAGTCAATTTTCAAGTGAAAACAACATATATATATTTTTCCAATAAAAAGTTTTATGGATCCACTCTTTTACCAACTATGATACCCCTCTTTCAAGAAGGCTCTTCGACCCCTGCGCCGCGCTTCCTCCACTGCTGGCCACAGCTTCGTCCGTGCCTCCTCATCTTCTTTGGAAAAGACTTCCTTGAACCGAATGTTCATCTCTCTGCACACCGGCGCTTCCTTCGAGCGTCTCCAAATCTCGTCCCGCGTTGTCCTCATACCAAATTGAATGATGATCGGACGAGGCATCTTGTTTGTAGCTACGTCATTCTTTCTTCCAAGTCGATGTACAGTGTCCACAGTTTCTCTGAGCTTGTCCACAGACACAGGAATCACTGTTTCACGTGCATTCTCATTTTCTTTCTCATGCAGACGGATAAGCCTGAGGTCCCACCGTCTCTGGTATCGGGCACTTTCCAGACATTTCTCTTTCAGATTCAATGCTAACCTGTTTAGAGGCCGCTCTTCTTTTAAGCTTTTTGCGGTTAGGACTGCTAACTGGGGTTGGTTCATTTTCACTTTCTGTTGTATCCATCTCCATTAAAATCTTCTCCGACTTTTCTCCAATTGGTGCAGCGTACACGTGGTCCGAGATGCTACTTGTTTGCTTCGGGTTAGCCATTTCTTCAAATGTTAATTTTACTTTTTTCTTCCATCCAGATAAAAAACACACAGTAACCTTAAAGTGTATCTGAGTACCTGCATCTTCAAAATTCGATGTTTTGGACTATAAAGTCACTTTTCCTGGAGCCCCGCAAAACTTTGCAACTACTCACTCCGCCATCTTGATCTCCCCCCAAAAATGTCACCGTCCCGCTCCCGCTAAAAAGGCCACAGTCGTGTTAAAGCAGAGATGATGTCGATGGAACTGTCCGTCCACGTCTCTCTGAAGCTAACGCGAGACGTGGTACGTTCGTTGGCCTTTGGAAATGAACCAATATCACTTGATTGGTCAAAATAATGTGAATAGAAAATAATCTGGAAGATTAGAAAGATTTACTATTTTGCATTGTTCATAAATAATAATAATAATCATGCATCAGTTTTATATAGCGCTTTTTTGGACACTCAAAGACGCGTTACATGTCATTATTCATTCACTCCATACACGGTGGTGATAAACTACTACTGTAGCCACAGCTGCCCTGGGGCACACTGGCATAAACGAGGCAACCAGTATGTGCCATCGGCCCCTGCGATCACCACCAACCATTCACACACACTAGACTCATTCTAGGCAATAAAGGCTGCAGAGGTGGCCGTGTTGCATGTGATTGTTATCAATAAAAAAGGGATGTGTCACGGCTCAAAAAGGTTGTGGAACACTGCTCTAGCTTGATAAAACCCAATAGGGAAGTACTCTTGTCCAAAGTTTTGCTCCAACTCGCTCTGGCTCCTATTGTAAAACTCAATGCTTGTTTGTGTCAACAGTCACCATTTTGTTCTTAAAAAATCTGCTGGCTTATTTGAACATAATGTTAATGAATCGGGAAGAAGTCGTCGGAACGCGTCAGAAATCGGTCAGAACAAATGCCCATATATGGAAATTCGCTCTAGCTAGCTTATGTTCCAAACTGCTTCTTCTTCTCAAGGCTAACGCTGCAATCGATCCACACCTCACACACAGTCATACAATTGACCTGGAGTTGCTTTGTGCAACATCCATGCTAATTAAAGCCGGGGTACCTTTCTTCAACTAATAGTTCTTCATGAACAACACAGGTTCCAACAGAAATGGTCTCGATGCGTAAATAGTAAAATGTTTTTGAACGTGCATGAGTGGCTGGTGGTGGTCAGATGGCACATACTGGTTGCCTTCTGTCAGCGTGCCCCAGGGCATCTGTGGCTCCAGTAGTAGTTGATAATGACCGTGTATGGAGAGAAAGAATATTGACATGTGAAGGGGTTGAGTGTCCAAAAAAGTGCTATATAAAACCCATGCATTATTATTATTTCTATAAACTAGTTGTAACCGAGGGAGCCCAATCAAACAGTATTTATAGTACACACAGGTAAGGATGCAGTGAATAGTTAAAAAGAGACAAATGCCATGATAGTTTACTCTTGTGTCTAAAAAGTTAATACATATTTATATTTCTTCTCTTCCAATTCTGGCATAGTTGAAGGAGGCCAGTCCCTCCTCCTCAGATTCCCAGCAGGAGGCCCGTCCCTGTGCTCCTCAGATTCCCAGCAGGAGGCCAGTCCCTGTGCTCCTCAGATTCCCAGCAGGAGGCCAGTCCCTGTGCTCCTCAGATTCCCAGCAGGAGGCCAGTCCCTGTGCTCCTCAGATTCCCAGCAGGAGGCCAGTCCCTGTGCTCCTCAGATTCCCAGCAGGAGGCCCGTCCCTCCTCCTCAGATTCCCAGCAGGAGGCCAGTCCCTGTGCTCCTCAGATTCCCAGCAGGAGGCCCGTCCCTGTGCTCCTCAGAGCTTGTTCATATGGCATTAACATGTCACAGATGTGCTTTGGTGTGAGATCATGGAGAGACTCCTGCACAGACTGAGGGTGATGTTGAATAAGTCCAATGTAAGGTTTTACCAGAACTCCCAGAGCAGTCAATTTAACAGCTTTTAGTTGTGTAAGTGTAATTACTCAGCGTTTGACATTTTTTTATAACTCTGTTTACTTTTTGAAATGTGAGGAGTTATATCCCTTAACCTAAATAAAATTCAAATTCAGCCATTTTCTGTTGCTTACAAACAATCTTAAAAGGGCAGTTAAAGTCCCCTTTTCAAGGTGTGGTTCTGAACTGAGCTTCCTCGTCCATCAGAGAAAGGCAACACGTTTGCAACACACTGTTTACTTGTCTTTCGTCTTCAGCATTAGCGTGTTTTTGTTTATGTCAAGTTATAGTCAACAGTTATAGTACTTATTAAAAGTCAGTGAAGGAAAATAGTCATTTTTACACAATCTGGTGTAAAAATGTATATTTTTAGGAGGCCCCAGGAACAATTGTTATAAAATAGTGTGTGACTGTTCTCTTTTGGTCACAAGTAACACAGCACTTCAACACAAACTTACTATTACTGAAATAAGAAATACAAGTCAAATTGAATCCAACATTATTGGTTTTTATTTGGACCACATTTGGATTTATTCAGCGCAGTCTTATGTTGAGCTTTCTCCATCCCTCAGTCATTTGTTTTGGGCTCATCTAGAAACATCCATCCAATTTCTTCCTCTTTGTCCTGGGCCGGGTCACAGAGGCAGCTGTCATGAGTGGCCCAGACTCCCCTCTTCACACTTCACACAAACCTCCTGCAGCTGGATGAGGCGTTTCCAGGCCAGCTCCAGACTCAGCTGCCTCCTCACCACAACAGTCCCATACAGAGGCAGCTCGAGATATAGTAACAGGGATTGCCCATGCTGTGCACCAAACATTCGTTCCATGAGCCTTTGGAAAGTCCCGAGTGCATTACATAGTCCAAATGGCATTCTGTTAAACTCGTATAATCCAAAGGGTGTGCAGAATGCAGTCTTTGATTTATCACCCTCCGTCACTGGTACTTGGTGGTAGCCGCACGCTAAGTCCATGGTGGTAAACCATTGGGCCCCGCACAAAGAGTCCAGGGACTCCTCAATTCGGGGCAGAGGGAAAGCGTCTCTTCGGGTTCTCTTGTTAAGCTGCCTATAGTCTACACACAGGCGCAGAGAGCCATCCTTCTTGCGTACGATGACTATAGGGGAGGCGTAAGGGCTACTGCTCTCTCGGATTACCCCCGTGTCCAGCAGCTGATTAATGTGCGTTTTAACAGACTCATACTCTGAGGGAGGAATACGCCTATAACGCTGGCGCACAGGTGCATGGTCTAAAAGAGGAACATCGTGGGAAATGAGCCCAGTACAACCCAAGTCCCCGTCAAACGCGGAGAACACAGACTCATAGGTGATGAGCATTTCCCGGACTTTAAGCTGGTCTGCTTCCGGCAGCATAGAAAGATCAAGACCTAGTATGTTCTCTCGCACCGAACCCCTCTTGGCAGTGTGAGACCGGACGGTAGCTATAACTGCATCACGCTCGTCGCGGACTTCGTGCACACCCGATGGCAAGCTGACTACCTCAACAGCGGATACTAGGGCCAAGGAGCAACAAGATTTTAAAGTCACCGGGGACCCACTAACATTTGTCACCGGTATGTAAGCGGTCCCTCTAACAACATTAACCAGGGTGGGTGACACCACTAACCCAGGAGGCAGACTAAACCCATGACCCAGGTGCTCAGCTAGGCTAGTCCCCGTAGCACCCACTGCAGCAGGACAGGTAGCGGCCACAAATTTTGTCGTGCCAGCAGGGATAACATTTTGTCTTCAATCTCGAACCTTTGCCACCGCCTCGCCAGCCATACAACTCTGTGCCTCTGCCTGCATAAAAAGCTGAAACGCCGGTAACCAGGGTGTGGAGGCTTCCAACAGGGAAGTATTGCTAAACAAATTAGCTCCGTCCTGGTGAGAAAGCTGCTCGTAATATGCTTTTATAATATTCATACCAATAATTCCCGGAACTGAAGTGGAGCTAGCCTGCCCTGGGGGGTCCTTAACAACCAATACTCCTCTCCTGGGAATAACTTTCCCATTGACCTCTACATCAGGCTCAAGATAACCCAGGTAGGGGATCGTCAACCCATTAGCAGCCCTCAACTCTAGCCAATGACATGACTTTAACTTGTCCTGGAAATGCTGCCTGAAGTAGGACTCTGAAATGGTGGACACCATAGACCCAGTATCAACGGAGCCCTATCTACGTTAGGGCTCGAGAATTCAGCTGGCGGAGATTGCAAAGCGGCAAGGGCTTGGGTGATTTGTGCTAGTTGTTCCTGTTGCTTCTGAACTAAAGCAGTAAGGGCGGTGATTTGAACTAAGGCATCATTACCCGGAGGGACTGACTGCAGATTAGCCCGTTGAGTAGCACATAACGAAGGCGCGGCATGGAAATTTGGCCTCGCCTCAACCGGCCTGCCCTCTCGCTCCCACTTGATTGCCTCCGACCGGACATCTAGCAATTCACAGTCTGGATTGTCCCGCACTAACCGCTTTAACTCTCTTCTCAAATTGGGATCATGTACATTTTCCACAAATTGATCACGTAACCAGATTTGCGAGTTAGTCATTCTACATGGAGCATTAGCGACAACTTTATCCATTAGACAGAAAAGAGCATGGGAAAACTCTTGCAATGTTTCCCCCTCTAACTGTCTTCTAGAGAAAAAGTCTTCCTGCAGCAAAACATAAGGCTTTTGACATCCATACAACTCTTTTAAAACAGCGAACACAGTCTCTGGGTCATCCCGTTCAGCCACAGTTCTGTACTTTATTTCATCACGCGCTTCACCCTCCAAATGATCAAAAATAAACGCAGCCTGGTCCGTAGGTCCAACATGTCTCACGCGCATACTTGCAGGTACCTCCTCCACCCAGTCATCAATCCCAATCCCGTGAGTTCCTCGAAACATGGGGCACTTTTGTTCACGAGGAAGGTAGATGACAGTCTCTGTAGTCCCTGGGTTGTCCACTTGTCCTCTCAGACTAGGACCGGCCTCCCGCTCCTGGTGCAGCTGGGCTTGTTCCGCCTCCAACTCACGGACCCTCTCCTGAAGCCGCCGCAGTTCCTCCGCCATGACTCAGGAGTTGTGGACGTCAGCAAGTCTCCAACACGTCCCCCGGCCTGCCAGCTGCTGTTTGATTTGGCTCTCAAACTTTTTTTTTTTTTTTTTTTTTTATTTATATACACACATTTATATTTTCCTGACCCTAACAAGTAAACCAAAATTCACACTCTGCCTCGCTCACCAGATCCTGCCAGCAGACGCCAATTGTGACAAAGGGAGGCTAGGGTTCCTCTAAGAATGGCAGGGAAGTCTGGTAACAAACACGAGCGAAGCAGAAATGTGGAAAATTATATAAGTTTTATTTTTGACACCAATAGTTAAAAATACGACCTTTTATTTACTGTTATTAAAATCTTTAAGATATAGCAGTGAAGGAAAACAAAACACTATTCACAACAGGTTTAATGAGCCAAACCAAACAGCAGCGGCTAACTGTTGGGTAGAGCACAGTACTGTTAGAATACACAAGACACAAAACACTTAAACCCAACTTGTGCGGAACGCGCCATACCTCGCATGAACATCAACCCGGCGCGATATGAAGCTCGGGCATGAAGCGGACACCAGCAGACCACCACCTGCCGTGACACAGGGTTAGCCAAGAAAACAAACACTACTCACATGCAGAACTCACATTACTCCTCTGCCTATGGGGTAAGGTTACTGTCAATAAAGACGTGCATGTCTAAAAAAAATGCGTGCATATTTATTGGTATTTGTGCATAATTTATTTTTATGAATTCATGATTAAGATAATACAAACTAAAAAGACATGGAATTTCGTAATTAAGAATAAAAAAATATAAAACTGTATGTGTGATTTTGTACTTGTGAATACGATTTTTTTTTGTGTGCTTGCTTTTTCTTTTTGAGAATGCGAATTTCAGCAGTGAGCAAACTGTCAATAATACGTCACTGCTCACAGACATTAACAATCGAGCTGCGCAGAGTTGATCATGGCAGAGGGCAACAACATTAACAATTTGGCTCAAAATCAGGTAAATAACTATATTTGATCATTTTGGTCGTAAATAAATGTGTAAGAAATATTAATTCCATAAAATGTGTTCATAAGATGTTTCTTGTCCCTCTCTGGAAACGTTTTTTTAGGCAGTGTTTAGTTAACACTAGCTTCAAGGCTAGTTTTACAGTGTTGTAGAAGTTTCTATCCAAAGTAAGGAAGAAGTTCAAAAGGTATTTGTCTTAATCAGGAGCGTAAGTTTATTGTAACACACGTGCGGAGAGCTCACATACACAAAAGCAGCGTACATCAGCTCTGGCGCGGCCAGACACCGGTTCCTGTTTACATAGACAACACATGAAAGACAGTCACGCCCACAAAAGATGGGAGGGGGTCACAGTTTGAGACGGGCATCCGGAGGCGAGGCGCCATGCCTGGGGAGAGACAATCAGACTGTGCCATGGGGATGCAAACAGAGAGACAATAGGCATGCAGGATGTAAAAGGTCGATAGAGATGCAGACATACGGACCGATACAGATGCAAGATGCAAAAGGTGCAAGGGTGAGATAGTAATTTGCGTCATTGTCTGTCGGTGCGGGGGGGAGCCCGCTCCTTCCTGCAGGTTAATTCAATAGAGCAGCGGGGGGGTGAGTTGGCGTCCTTGAGGCTAAGCAGCTTGCCATAACACTCCTCTCCCGTGATAATGTAGAAACCCCAGTTTTACAGAGATCACATTCAGGTGGGTGAGTATTGACCTTGGTCCCTGAGCAAAACAAGAGTTGTTGATGGACAGGCTAGGCTGCCGTCACCCAAGCCTCTTGTATTACGAGGGTGTGGTCAAAGCTCTTCACTGTGATACCCTCCCCCTAAATTGTAGGCGGAACAAGTGGAAAAATAAAAACAAGGTAAACAAGAAAGAAAAACGTTAGACAAAGTCGTCGTCCGAATCGCTGATATAATCAGGATCGGAGTTCAGTGGGACAGCGGCCAGGTCCGCCTCGGGGTCTTTGTATTGAATGGACACAAAGTGAGTGGATATCATTTTACCAACGGCCCGAAACACCATAGGTAATACACACGAAAATAAAATCATAACAGTCAATAGGGCTAAACCAAGATTAATGAGCACACTCCGCCAGGAGGACAGGAGCCAGTCCAGACCGTGAGGAGTGTCCGTGACATTGTCCGCTTGCATGGCGTCCCGGAGTCTAGTCAGATTGGCTATGCCCTGTTGGATAAGACCTCCGTCCTCATCATTAGCCGGAATATATGTACAGCAGGACGACCCAATGATCGTGCATACGCCTCCCACAGACGCGGTCAGGTGGTCCAGGACCAACCGGTCCTGAAGAACAACGGCACGTAGGTCGTGAAGTTCAACTCTCTGTGATTCAAGTATGGCCACTGTGGTATTGACAAAACCTGAGAACCTATAGCTCAGGGTCTCCGTCCTTAGCATTAGTTTACCTACACCCAGGCTGGGGAATAATGCTAACATTATTTTCTGGCCTGTGGTCCATAATTTGTGGTCATCGGGTACATTAGTGGGGCGGCACGGTGGCTGAGTGGATAGCACTCTCGCCTCTCAGCAAGAAGGTCCTGGGTTTGAATCCCGGTCGGACCAGGGCCTTTCTGAGTGGAGTTTGCATGTTCTCCCCGTGTCTGCGTAGGTTTCCTCCAGGTACTCTGGTTTCCCCTACCACTAAAAATATGTCCAATAGTTCTAGCATGTGCCTCCTGTACTGGCGACCCCGCTCCCATCTCTGTGTGGAGTGAGAGACAAATGCCCAAAATTAACAATTGTAAACCGCTTTGAGACTCAATTCTGCAGTGAAAAGGCGGTATATAAATAAAAACTTACTTACTTACTTACTACTTACTTACTTAGTGCCCCACAGGGGGTCGTGTGGTGTGTAGAGTTCTCTCTTGTCTCGGTGTTGGGCCTTAGGGAGTGTGGAGATGATGTATGAATGGTCGGCAGGAAGGGCGGCCGCACAGCGTCCCTCCCATTTTGCGGGCAGACAGTCATACATGCGATATCCGCACAGATACATGTGAGACTCTACGGGCCGCGTTCCTAAAATGTCTGGTACCGTATAGTACGGGACACACACGCTTCCCGGGGCTGCCTGGGAATCGTTAAGTTTGCTGCTGTTGGCCATGTATGTGCAGGGGCTATATACAATAGAGCAGAACTCAAGTGGGATATTTCCCACATGAATGGGCTCTTTCGGGAGAGTAAGACTGGTGTTGGCCCGAGACCAGGAGTGGGTGTAGCATATAAATTTGGAGCCAGGTTTGATGTGCACTGGGCCGAAGATTGGCTCTTCCCCCGGGTGGCTGCCGGATTTGAGACGCAGCTCTCCCTGGGCAAGGGGCTTGAGTTTTGGGGGCACCGCAAAAAACATTGCTGGAGCCCTGGGATCGGACATTGAAACCAGGGTGTGAGGGATGATTTTGGAAATGTTTGGCACCGGTAAGGGGATTATGTGGGGGTTAGCGGCGGCTATAGGAAGGTGGGTGCATACGTAGCAATTGGATCTATTGTGGCTATCTGCGACGTATTTTGCATACTGATACCAAAGGTTGAGTGAATAAACTGTAGAGTGTTTGTAGGATTTACTCAAGGCCTCCAACCAAGCAGTGTCGTCGGAAGCAAGGCTGCGTCTAATGCGTGTCATGGCTTGAATCACAGGGTTTTGAGTTTCAGAAGAAGACAATACTAACATAAAAAACACGGTCAGCACGGAAAGTAGTGTCAGTGTGGCCAGCATAACAGTCCAAGGGCCCATGCCGGTCTTAGCCGGGCTACATTCGGTAGTCTTTTCCGCGGGAATACTCACGAACAGTGCCGTCTTGCAGTCAGTGGCACCGCTCCCTATGAGCGTGTGTGGAGCGTTAGTGGTCATGGCGATGTTTGGTCTTGGAGCGGCAAGACTCTAATCGCGTTGAAGCCTTGGCCTCAGCACTCGGTTGGGCAGAGTGCTCGGGGTTTGGGGTGTGGCCTTGGGGTCCGGGGGCTGGGGAGTTGGGCAAAGGGGGGTCGCGTCGGGAACGCTGGGATTCTCTGGGTGTTGTTGTTGGCCTGCTTCACCGACGGTGGTCGCACGCCGGCCGACCTCTTCCGCGTAGGGAGCCGCGGATGGGCCTGGTCCGTCCGCACCCTCGGTGTCCTCGTCTATGGCCCTCAGTGGCAGCACCGCACGACAGTGGTTGGCGTGGATCCAAGTTGTCCTCTCCGCGATCTTAACGGCAGTGTCCGTCACCAGGAGGACGAGGAATGGGCCCAGCCAGCGCTTGGACCGCCAATGCTTTCGTCTCGTTTCCTTCACCAGGACCCAGTCGCCTGGCTTGATCTTGTGCAGAGCCGCCTGCGCAGCCTGTGGCAGGGCGCTCCTGACCTGGGCAGAAATAGAGGACAAAAGTGCTTTAATTTCCTTACAATAGGACAGCATGTCGTCATCACACAAAGCGGTGCTTAGTAAATCTCTGGTCGGGGGTCCCGCGCCCAAGTTGGGTGGTCTGGCAAAGAGGATTTCGAATGGGCTTAGGTTTGACCTTGACCTGACTCTCATGCGCATGTACATGAGGGCTAGCGGCAGAGCTTTGATCCAAGACAGGTCTGTCTGTTCGCAGATTTTAACAAGTTTGTTTTTCAGAGTGCCATTCTCTCGCTCGCACGTGCCTCCGCTCCAGGGGGCGTAACTGCAGTGTTTACGTATATCAATGCCCAGAAATTCACCTACTTCCTCAATGACTTTTGCTACAAAGTGACTGCCATTGTCACTAGAGATTTTTTCCGGGACACCCCATCGTGGCACAATTTCTGTGAGCAGAGCTTTCACCACCGCGTTGCTCGTGGCGTGTTTGCATGCAAATACTTCAGTCCATTTGGACCAGAGATCCACCAGAACCAGACAGTATTTCTTACCTTGGCATGGTGTGAGTTCAACAAAGTCCATTTGGACATGTTGAAATGGGCGCAGGGGCGGAGGATGGGCAGCCTGTTGGATAATTTGGGACTTACCTGGGTTGTGCGCGAGGCA